TCTCTAGTCCTACTCTGGTTTTCCTTTGGTCAAATACTTTTAATTCAAGTGTAAACAACTGTGCTAGCCTTTTTCATTTACTCAGAAGAGCAGTGTGCCGAAAGTGTCGGAAGTCTCTCAGAAAAAAAAAAGCTTTTTAAAATGTCTCCAAACTTCAATTAACTTCATATTAATATTGTAGTGTTATACAACAGCATTAATAGCCAATGTGATTTAATTTAACCATTTTATGTCGTTAGTCTACATTAGTTACATTTAAAATTACAATTCTAATTCAAACCGAATTACCTCTTGTCAACATAATTATGGAGTGTGATTTATTTTCAACTCAAAATATCTTCAAACTAATTAAATATGAAGTTATTAGTGAAGAAAACCCGTCTGGATAACAGCAGACTGACTGCTGGTAAAACATACGACAGGTCTGGACCACTCGTGAATTTTGTTCGTATCTGAAAAAAATCTTAGAATACGAAAACATTGGTGAATGCCACAAATTCTCCTAAATCACTCGTACGCACAACTTAAGAACAAATCTGTGCGTATTAACGGTTCTTGCATGAGGCCCAATGTTTCCAGTTGCTGTTGCAACTTTCTTTGTTGATAACTTTCGTACTGCAAATCTGTTTTGCAGCAATCGATTTCTTAGACAATTCTGTTTTTAATGCTTAATCACCCCACTTCCCACTGGAAAAAATGGACTTAGTTCCATTATGGGTGATTTCAAGATGGCAACCATGTTCTGGGCATAGTTAAGAAACCTGATCTTGATTCAGGAGTTCTGGCCAACTACAGACCTATATCTAATCTTCCATTCATCTCAAAAATTCTTGAGAAAATAGTTGAAAATCAGCTACATGAACATCTGGATAGAAATAATCTANTCATTCTATCTGCAGATGAACAGCATGTCTTGAAAACCTAGGTCATTAAAGGATGTCATGAATAACTAGTTTAAACATAAAAGTATTAGTTCCACCACAGAAGCATATTTAAAGTAAAGAGGATTGGTCCAAGCACTGAACCATGAGGAACTCCATGACTAACTCTGGTGTAAGCAGAAGATTCATTATTAACATTAACAAACTGAAATCTATCAGTTAAATAAGACTTGAACCATTTTAGAGCTGTTCCTGTAATCCCAATATCAAGTTCAAGTCTACGTAATAAAATATTGTGATCAATTGTATCAAATGCAGCACTGAGATCTAAAGGGACAAGAATGGACACAAGTCCACTGTCTGAGGCCATGAGAATATCATTAGTAACTTTCACCAGTGCTGTTTCTGTGCTATGACGAGCTCTAAACCCTGACTGAAACTCCTCATATACTGTAGATTATTTCTATCCAGATGTTCACATAGCTGATTTGCAACTAATTTCTCAAGAATTTTTGAGATGATTGGGAGACTAGATATATGTCTGTAGTTGGCCAGAACTGAATCAAGTTCAGGTTTCTTAAGTAAAGTTTTAATTACAGCAACCTTAAAGCTCTGCGGCACATAACCATTCATTAAAGATAAATTAAGTACATCTAAAATATAAATATTATTTAAGGGAAATGCTTCTTTGAACAGTCTGGTTGGGATGGGATCTAGCAGACATGTTGGTGGTTTGGATGAAGCTATTATTTTAGATAATTCAGAGCTCAACAGGACAAAAACTGTCCAGACATAAATCAGGTTCTAGTGACACTAAAGCTGCCTCATCTGACAGAGAATCAGAGGCAATTGCAGGAAGTTTGGCATGAATTTTATTCCTTATTAAAATTATTTTATCTATAAAGAATCTCATGAAGTCATCACGACTCATAGGGATACATGGTTCAACAGAGACAGGACTTTTCATTAGTATAGCTACAGAACTGAACAGAAACCTAGGATTGTTTTTATTCTCTTCTATTAAAGATGAATAATAAACAGTTCTAGCTTTACGAAGGGCTTTCTTATATGTTAGCAGGCTGTGTCTCCAGGTTAAATAAGATTCTTCTATGTTAGTGGAGCGCCATTTTCTCTCTAGTTTTCTAGATGCCTGTTTTAAAGAACGTAACTCTAAATTAAACCAAGGAGTCGTCTTCCTTCAATCGATAACTTTCTTTTTTAGTGGAGCAATTTCATCAAGAGAGGTTTGTATTAAAGTTGTAATATTATCAACAAGACCATCTAAGTTACTGTTCTCTGTTACATTATTCTGTAAGACAGAGGAAAATAAAGATGGAAGAGTTTCTTTAAACTTAGCTACAGCATTCTCTGATAAGCATCAACTATAATGAAATTTACTCTGAGTTAATATAAAGTTATCTAATGTAAACTCAATGGTTATTAAAAATGGTCAGAGAGAACAGGACTGTGAGGATATATCATTAAGTTCTTGCTCTCTACACCATACATCAGAACCAGATCAGTGTGATGAAGAGAGTGAGCAGGTCTGTGGACATTTAGACTTAAACCAGTTGACAATTAAATTACTAAAAGCTATATTTAAACTATCACTTTCACTATCAACATGAATGTTAAAATCTCCCAATATTATAAATTTATCAGTAGGCCTATTTAATAATAAATCAGTCAGAAAATCTAAGAACTCTGATAAAAACTGAGAATAAGGACCTGGAGGACGATAAATAACAGCTAGTAGTGGTTTTTCTGATTCCCATTTTGGATGAGAAACACTGAGGGACAAAGACTCAAACTAATTATAATTAATATTTGATTTAGCATTAATTAATAGTTCTGACTTATAAACTGCAGCTACTCCTCCACCACGACCTGTTGTTCTAGGAACATGAATATTTAAATAATTATCAGGAGTGGATTCATTTATACTAACACAATCCTCCTGTTGTAACCAGGTTTCAGTTTTATAGAATAAATCAATATGATGATCAGTTATCAGATCATTAACTAACAGAGACTTAGAAGAAAGAGATCTAATATTTAATAAACCACATTTAATAGTTTCATTGTTTCGTTCTGGTAAAGTAACTGTGTTTATTTTTATAAGATTTTTATGATTTATTTTTCTAGAGTTTATATATTTATTTAATTTGGTCCATGGGGCTGACACAATGTTAATGGGGGTTTGGGTGGGTAATAAAGGAGAACATATCATCACTAGTCAGGTTAGGGAGGGGGCCAGAAAAAACTACAGAGTCCGACATCTTCTTTGCAAAGTTACAGACTGAAGCAACGTTAATTTTAGTAACCTCCGGTTAACGTAACTGAGTGTCATTATCACTGACATGAATCATAGTCTTACTGTACCTAGTGTTAGCATTAGCCAGTAGTTTCAGGTAGGATTCTAAGTCTCCGGCTCTGGCTCCTGGAATACATTTAATCATGGCTGTTGGAGTCCCTAAATCCATGTTTTGGACTATGGAGCTGCCAATAACCAGGGTCTGTTTCTCGACCAGAGTGTCGCTGAGTGAGGAGAAGCGATTAAAAATATCAACGGGTTGACGGTCGGGAAGTTTAGCTTTAGCACTCTGCTTTTTCCAAGCCGTCACCCAGCTAGCTTGGGGTGGTGGCCTTACGGGCTCCACTGAGGGACCGCTAACAGGAGAGGCTTCTCTCGGCAGCTCCATGCTAGCCTGGCTAGCTGTTGGCTTCTCAACAACACGAAGCTGAGCTTCTAATTCAGACAGCCTCGCCTCTAAATCTACCATAAGTCCGCATTTAATACGAATGTTGCCATCACTAAAAGAGGCAGGGGAGGAACTAAACATCTCACAGACGGAGCAAGTGAGGAAAGCCGAGGTGGTCGGAGAAGAAGTAGCCATGATGCTAAGCAAACGTTAGCGAGGGCTACAAGATGTTTTAAGCACAGTCCCAATAAGAAGAAACTATATCAAGAGTGATTTAGGACTAGAAGTAGAACCGTCAAAGGTAGATAACCCAGTGAGTTAAAGAAATTCCCAAACAAACAAACAAATTGCCAAGCACCAGCAGCAAAGCAGAAAATGAAATAATACGATACCCCACGTCTAACCTCACCCTGTCTCCTGAAAACAGGAGCAGGCGTACGGAGGAGACAGTTTTGAAAACTAAAGTTTTGTGGTGCTTGTTAGTGGAGCAGTCTTTCACTGTCGGTGTCTGTCAGCGTCCAGTCTGCTTTAGCTTTGAACAAAACTGGAGGAGCAGAGAGCAGAAAGAAAGAGAAGAAAGAGAGAGAGAAAATAAACAAAGATAAATATGTTGCCTTGAAAGTGAATAAGTAATTAAATAAATAAACCAGGTATAGGGCAGGTACAGGAAGTAGCAGTGTCCAAAATACATGAGAAACTCGCCCAAATGAGCAAATTCCATGAGATTCCGCATTTTATACAGGATTTTATTTTGTGTCAATTCCTGTGATTCTATTAGCATTTTCCGCACTGGTCCCTGTCTCAGTCCTATTTGTATTATTTTTTTTTGCACACCTGGGAATTTTTTTCACATACCCCTGTAATATGCTTGTGTACCCCAAGGGGTACACAAACCTCTGGTTGGGAATAACTGGATTGAACCATTAATAAAGGGGCAGCTGCACTTACTCTAGGAATAATACAAAACTAGAGCTTTACAATAATCTTTTCTCTGAGTTAAATTAGGACAGTCACTTTTAAAATGGGTGAATAATTATGTAAAGACTTATTTTACATTTTTAATAAGTTGATATTACTCTGTAGAGATTTAGTTTTACTTTGATATTGAAGAAGTTTTTTATTTTTATTTGTTTGTGTGTCTTTTGGTAAAGAAAACCAATTTATTTTGGCCATGACTGATTTCTCACAGCAATAAATGGGTCCTCACAAGGTAAATACATTTTAGCCACTGTATATTTTGGTGAAATGTAAATCAGCTTGAATTAAATAGTCACAGTAAATCTGTCTGTGACCACATGGCCTGAGTTTGAAATAACACAAGGTATGTACCTTTGTGTATTTGTGTAACATAGTGTTCTTATGTGATACCTAAGAATTTTGTTTTTTATAACTAAAGTTCTCTCTCTGTGTGTTACAGTTTCTGAACTCAGGATTGTTCTGTTTGGGGAAAAAGATGACAAAAAGACAGTACGTGTTAAACTCATTACTGGGCTTGAAAAGGTTAATAAGCAGAAACATTCCTCCTGTGTGGCCTTCAGTGGACAGTGGAGAGGGAAAACAGTGACAGTCGTTGAAACTCCTGACATCTACAGTCAGCCAGTGGAAACTGTCATAGAAGAAATACAGAAGTGTGTGAGTCTCTGTCCTCCTGGACCAAATGTTCTGCTGCTGTTAGTGAAACCTTCTGAGTTCTCTGACAAAAACAGAAAAACACTGAAGTTCATCCTCAGTTTGTTTGGTCAAGATGCCTTCAAACAGTCCATGCTCATCATGACACAAAAAACTGACATGAGTTTTGCTGTCAATGTCCTCCTTAAAGATTGTGAGGGAAGACATCACAGCATCTTTGAAGAGAATCAGGATCTGTTCATGAAGAAGATTGAGGAGATTGTTTATGAAAATCAAGGAAACTTCCTCACCTTCACAGACAAGACCCCAGGAATAAAACAATATATTGAACAAACACCAAATAAAGGCACTTCACAGCAAAAACCCAACAAACCTCCTTTAAACCTGGTTCTGGTTGGGAGGAAAGGATCAGGGAAGACTTCAGCAGCTGAACTTATTTTAGATCAGACAGATCTTCCTCCAGCCTCCAGCCCATCAGAGTGTGTTAAACATGAGGCAGAGGTGTGTGGACGTCAGGTTTCTGTGCTACAGATGCCTCCTCTGTACAGGAAACCACCTGAGGAAGTGATGGAGGAATCCTTCAGGTGTGTCTCCCTCTGTGATCCTGAGGGGGTCCATGCCTTCATCCTGGTCCTACCTGTGGGTCCCCTCACTGATGAAGACAAGGGAGAGTTACAGACCATCCAGGACACATTCAGCCCTCGAGTCAAAGACTTCATCATGATTCTGTTCACTGTGGACTCAGATCCTGCAGATCCAGCTGTTGTTAACTTTATAAAGGAGACCAAGGAGATCCAGGAGCTCTGTCAGAGCTGTGGAGGAAGATATTTTGTTCTTAACGTCAAGAACAAGAAGCAGATCCCACAACTGTTGGAGACTGTGGATAAAAATATATCTGACAGGAAGGATTCATGCAGTTATACATTTAAAACCTTTGCATTTGGTCAAATGGTGGAAAAATCACAGCTACAGGCTGAACTGAAGGAGCTCAAAACAAAGACCACAGTCACAGGTAAATACTTTATATATATTCTGTGACCTCTTTATCTAAAATGTGTATTATTTTAGTGATTTTAGCTTTTATTTTCTTAGCTCTATAGTTAGAATGACAGACTGAATTATGCCGTTCTTATACACATTCACTAACCAGGACCACTGAATCCATGAGCCATCAGCTCATAGATACATGGTGGTAAATACTGTTTCTTGAATTTATCATTGATGTTGTAATCTTCAATGCTGAAGTCCCAGTTGTCTTTTTTATAAAAAGTATAGAAACTAGACAATATTCAGATATTGATCTAAATACGTACAAAAAAACTAAATATAAATAAGAAATATATTGCAGCAATGCAAGGATCATCTAGGCAAAGAAAACTTCAGGACATCAGCAGCACAGTTGTGGGGCGTTGGGGCTGATGTGGGGGGTATCGGGGGTTGATATATTGGGG